GTCAGTTAGGCTCCCATTCCTCCCAATTTGATTGCATTCCCTATCAAGTTTATGTGGGATTTTAGTCCTGGCCAGCCTCCAAAGCCGTTGCTTCAGCATTACCAGGACATGCATGTCCGTGGATGTCCTCGCCGTCCCTGTACAGCCACGTACATGGCAGGCAACTATCGAAGCAGGCCAGGAGCCTCTGGCAGTCTGGCTGGCAGCCAACCGGCCGCCGGTCTGAGAACTCAACTTGACATCCGGGAGGAAGAATCCGGTGACCATGAACATATACTTCCGAGTGAATCACGCCAAGCAAAAGCAGTAGTCCCATTACGATTGCAACGTACGCCCACTTATAATAGATCGACCTGAAAAGTGAGAACGGGACGGCCCAGATATTATTTAAAAGACGTGTCAAAATAATATCAATAGGATCGACATGCACGCGGCGTACCTGACGTATCCAGTACAGTTCCAGTCGGCCGGTTACTCCATTGATGTTAATGTTACCAAAACACTAACGCCCACACGTGTGGGCGTTACCCAACTCGCCCACACGCCTGGATCGTCGTTCACTGTCTTTTGCATGATTCTTGACACGAAAAGGTGGATTTGGTGTGCCACGTAGGACGGGACTGGTGTGTGAGTGTTGGAGAGTTTGCCCACGCGCCCGCACCACGTTGTTTGCCAGCTACATTGTGTGGGCGAACTGCTTTTCGCCCACATAGCCACCAACTAGGTTATGCGCGTGTGGGCGAACTGCTTTTCGCCCACACGACACTACTACCTTGTGGATGGCAACTGTAGTTACGCGAACGTGGCAACTCGGTACACACACATGGCAACTGTGATTCTTTGCTACATGGCAACTGCAGTTACGCGAACGTGGCAACTCGGTACACACACATGGCAACTGTGATTCTTTGCTACACTGCAACTGCAGTTGCCCGTACGTGGCAACCAGATAAACACACATGACAACTGTGATTAACAATACATGTCAATTATGGTTGGACCACACGTGGCAACTAGGTAAACACACATGGCAACTACTATTTTGACCATATGTGGCAAGTAGTTAATCACACACGGCAACTACGATTTGATTACACGTGGCAACTACCATAAATTAGACATGTCAATTATAGTTAACCAAAACAGATAGAGTTGCCATGCTTTTACAACTACACTTGCCATCCCGGATAATTACATCTGCCAACCAGGATGGCAACTAAATCGTCATCCCGCAGGGTACCTAACGTAGCTGCGTCATGACGTGTGGGCATTTTTGCTTCGTGCCACACGCACGGGGTGGAGATGAGTAGTACTTGTTGGGCGTGTGGCACGAAGTAGCCGCGCCCACACATGTGGGCAATTCTAATATTCGCCCACACACAGCCCGTGTGGACTGCCTCCTGCTCACACCACACACGGTATGTGTGCGCATGTCGTATATGCCACACGTGTGGGACTGAGATCCAGTGCCTCGCCTCTGTCAAGGCACCACGCGCCTTGAGGCTTGGAATCTGACGTCCAATGTGCATCCAACGGCTATCCAGAGTCAACGCGGAAACTACCAGGCCTCCACTCGTCCCCGTCCTCGATTCCTCACGCGCGAGGCAAAATAAACCGCGGCAAGAAAGCTTCGCGGGCGGGAACTCGCTCTGCGCCGTCGCCGCTGTGGGGAGGGAGGCATGGGAGCTCCCGCGGCGGCCACCGGATAAACGGCCTCCGCTCGTCTCTGACGGCGCCCTCGCTCCCCTACGACTCTTCCTCGTCCCGCTGTGCTGGCAGCTGTCCGTCGCGACCGGCCACCTCTGTCTGCTCCCTCCGCCCTCATCCGGCGGCTCGCTTCACCCATCTCTGGCTGCTCCCTCCGCCCGCATCCAGCGGCTCGCTCCGCACCCTCCAACGCTCGTCGGCCACGGCGCCTGCCCGTGCAGCAGAAAACTGAACGCCAACTTCAGTTCAGACTCCAACAGGCAACAGGTAGTTCTCTGTTCAGTACTGTCTCTGTTAATCTGTATATGAAAATCGTGCTAGATGGCAGCTTGTTAATACTTTGAACACGAATTTCCAGTGTGATGGCAGCTTGTTAATACTGAAAAATTGTGTTGGATCAATATTGTCTCGATTCTCATGAATTCATATGTGAATTGATCGATGTGTTTCCTGCCTTATTTGACAGAATTCTTGTGCTGATTGAGATGATGTGTTACGCAATTTGATTATTGTGCTATGCAATTGTGAGTGGTGTGCATTTGCAAGAATTGTGCAATGGGAGAAATACTGTAGTCATGAAGAATTATGTACTGAAGTCTTTGTATTGAATACTTTTCTGATGTTGGTTTGCTGTCTGGTTAAGTATATTTGCTTTTGTCTTCAGTTAACTGAATTTCGTATCTGTGTATGGCTAACTGAAATTTTTTGTTTGTGTGCAGATGTATGCTGCTCTTGCCTTGCGTCTGTCTCATGGTCAGGGCGGACCATCGGAGGGAGACGTCGATTGGAGGGGGTCCGTCGTCGACAGCCGCTGGAACGGGCGGAGGTAGCCGCCCGATTGGAGACCTTCAACGGCCGCGTTCATGGTCTGTTTGCCGGAGCGGGGCGGGGAGGAGTGGGGGCAGAGCGGCATGCCACCGTCGTTGGAGCTCCCTTCCCCACGGCGGCGACGGCGGCAGAGGAGTTCCCGCCCGCGAGCCAGTGGCGGTTTTTCTTTCCCGTGTTGCCTCGCGCGTGAGGACTCGAGGACGGGGACGAGTGGAGGCCTGGTAGTTTCTGCGTTGACTCTGGATAGCCGTTGGATGCACATTGGACGTTGGATTCCAGGCCTCAAGGCGCGTGGTGCCTTGACAGAGGCGAGGCACCGGATCTCAGTCCACACGTGTGGCAGTTATCGGTATCCTAATGTTATGCATGAAGTTGTCGGTCGGAGTATGGACGAAGTTCTGATTTTCAAACCGCCTAATGTTGATTTGCCACCGGATTCTTCAAAATCGCCGAAATTTGCACCGTCCAACTACAGAACATGACATAATAACTTTTGCCCTCATATTGTTTTAATGCTGATTTTCGCTGATGCAGTGGTTTTTCTCGTGAATGTGGATCCTTATAAAGTTATAATCACCCCTCAATCAACATGGAAAGAACCTACTCAAGTACTATATAAAATAATAATAATAATGGTTTGAAGAAGATTGGGAAGATATAGCACACAAGCCTTTTTTTAAATCTTACTATTACTAAAATAAAACTCATATGGTGTGCTTCACTCTTACACTCCAACATGTTATTACTTTTGTGGTCTCAGCAACAATTTATTCTAGTTGTTATTAGCATCTACTCCTTCCGTTTCAAAATAGATGACTCAACTTTATAATAATTTTAATATAAAGTTAATACAAATTTGGGTCATCTATTTTGGAACGGAGGAAGTATGAATTATACATACTCCTCTTGTTTAATTTATAGGGAGTCACCATAGCACGAGAGTCTACCATATCATGCAATATGTGCCATGAGACCACGCACGCTCAGCCGCTCATTGGGATATTCCTTTCAGTGTTTGCCATAACATTCCAATTCTTGATGAACTTTTAACAACACACTTGGATCCACCGTTGCAGGATGCTACTCCCTCCGTTCATTTTTGTAAGTCGTTTCAGACAACACAAAATAGGCTGTTTTGTACATTGTCTGAAATGTTTTAAGGTCTTATAAAAGTGAACGGAGGGAGTACCAAAGATGGCGTGGTTTCAGCCTATATCAAAAACCCCACATATATATACGTGGATGTGAGATCGAGCGCACGTAAGTAATAAGAACACTAATATGTGCTCACCATGTCATGCTAGTACAGCCACGTAGGGAAAAATTTCGAAGCAGGGCAAGAGTTTAGTAAGGTCACGGCCGACTAGCCGGTTTTAGAATTCAACTTGACAACCTGCAGGAAGGAAGAATCCGGCCGGTCGGCGGGTGACCGGCCGTGAGCATACTTCCGTGTGAACCATGACAAGTAGTAGCCCCATCTGGATTGCGACGTACTCCACATTTGGCATATGTGCCTCTTTATTCTTACACCCCCTTTTCCGAGTTATTACGTTTTTGTGACGTGGTAGACGAGTGGAGTTGATGTGTCAGTCACATAGAGCTCCACAAAAGTACAATTGCAAGATCTAACTAGATCAAAGCAAGTCGCAGAGGTGAAAAGCAGTCGTTGGTTTGGAGAACCTCGTCGAAAATCATATATGTGGCCAATAATTGAAGATTTTCTCTAGAATATGTGCATCCACACATCTCTAATTTGCACGGTAAATATAAACGCATTAGCTAATGTGTTTTTAGTAAAATTAGTACGTTTCATCACATATGTCAAGAAACAGTTTTCATGATCATATTACAGTTTGACGCCAACATATTATAAACCACTACAAAGTACTACCTCCGTACCAAAATATAAAAAGTTTTTATTGAACTGCAAAAACGTCTTATATTTTGGTAGGGAGATACTGTCAAAGTTAGACGTCCAATACTCGCCCAAAGATAATAATCAGGCGTTCAAGACTCTGTCTATGTTCCAGAATTGACTCATATATTTACTTGCGAACTGATGGAGTAAAAGATTACATTCTAACTTCTGCAAGAATTAAAAAGCACAGCTTAGGTAGCTAGCCATTAGGCGTGATGTCGGAAACTTCTCAAAGTCCTCCTGCCCTATCCTTACATGTGTGGTTTAACAGCGACCCATGTAATTAAGCATCCGCCAGTTAACCTAATAATAGTACAATGATTACATCGCATGCACGTAAGTTCTATAGACGGCCACGTAACGACTTAATTGGCTCGAATGGAAAAAAGAACTCCACGGGGCTTGACGAGGTCGAGCTCGAGCCGGCCAGTTGCGCCAACCCAACCAGACTTGTGCACGTATGTTACGTTACCATGCGTGACTCGTCAGTCGACATGCGTGGGTGGCGTACCCAACTCGACGGCCTGAACACTATAAAGCGGGCACAATGCTCGCACAGTTCCATCCATCTCGTGCCAACATACATAGCCAAAGCACTCGAACGCGTATAGAAAACATGTCGAGTCCTCTGCTTGTTGCAATGGCCGCGGCGGCAATCGTCGTCGCCTGCTGTTTAGCGGCGTGTCCGGTCGGCGCGGGCGCGAGCGCTGGTGACTTCTACGACAACTTCGTGGTGAAGTGGGGCACGGACCCAGACCCCGACCGGCGGGTCGAGATCGTCGACGGCGGGCGGCTGGTGACGCTCACCCTCAACAACGTCTCCGGCGCCGGGTTCCAGTCCCGGGACGCCTTCCTCTTCGGCGAGTTCACCATGGAGATGAAGCTCGTGCCGGGCGACTCGGCCGGCACGGTCACCACCTTCTACGTAAGCCCGTCTCGCCTAACCACCAATACTTTTCATGCGACTTCTCTCCCAGATATCGTCCGATCATGCGTTGAATGCATGCACCAACATACTTTCCTTCCAATTTGATGTACGTACACGTACGGGCGTATATTGGGCCTGTGTTTTGACTGTGCATGCACGATGATGTTGATGATGCAGCTGACATCCAAGGACCCGACGGCGGCGGGGGACGGGCACGACGAGATCGACTTCGAGTTCCTGGGCAACGTCAGCGGGGAGCCGTACCTGATGCAGACCAACGTGTTCGCCCAGGGGGTCGGGGGCAGGGAGCAGCGGTCCTACCTGTGGTTCGACCCGACAGAGGACTTCCACAACTACACCATCCTCTGGAACCCTCTGAACATCATGTACGTGCTCATCGACGTGTCCCCCATGCACGCATCTAATCATTCATTCATTTCTTGCATATTTAAATATATCATTCGAATCTTGCAAATATGTGATGTTTCTAACGTTGTGTTGTCTCAGCCAAGCTAGCTAGTAGCTGAAAATTAAGCAGGCGTGAGCCCGACGATAAGTACATGAAGACCAAACGCGAGAGGACAAATGTTTGTGCCTGGAGACGACTCTTTCAACGCGTGTTCACGCATGAAAATATGACCGTTTAGCTGAACTTGCCGGCCCGAAATATCATATACGTATGGGCTTGCGCGCACCAAGTTTTTGGGCCTTCCTCCCTGGTTTGTCCTAGGCCCGTTTACTCACAAGATATTTTTTCCCGTTCTCAGAAAAAAATATCTCTTCTTCTCAAAAAGAAAAAAAGGAAAAATATATCTCAAAAAAATTACACGGTCTTTCCTTTTTTCTTTTCTTTGCGAACCTCCTCCTCTGCCCTCTCAAATTCATTTTTCTGAAACAACGAGCCTCCTCCTCTGTCCTCTCGAAAAAGATAAAGCGATGATTTGTCTCAAATAAAAGTATGCAAAAATGGAAGGCGACTAGTATGTTTCGTTTCGGTCAGAAGGTAGGAGAGCTAGAGCACGTAAGACTCAAAAAATTCGTCCAAATTAAACAACCATTTTATAGGAACCTTTCACTGTCGGTTTGGAGCCGAGGAAGGTAGAAAAGACTTGAACAGCAACTTGATACTCCGGCCATCTGTGAGACGATATCATTCTAAACCCTCTCGGAAAGAGGGCTTAATTTAGCCGCGTCGGCATATTTGGAAGCACGAGAGCACCACCTGTCCCAGCCAGCTGCTCTTTCAAACGAAGAAGCGATCGAGGAAAACGTGAGGAGGCACATGAGGTGCCTGCGCAGGTAACATGCACGTCAACTTAGCCCCTAAACAAACCAGCTAATGATGCGATAATCGTACTGGTACGCGGAGTCAAATGCTAGATTCTGCCAAAACAGAAATTTTTTACCCGGCATCTGAATCAAAATCTCGGCAAATTCAATAGCACCCAAGGCCAGTTGGCCCATCCATGCATCCAGGCATCTTCTCATCACTGCACTGACCGAATTAATGCATCGGATCTCCTGCATCTGTCTGACAATTTGTTTCCGTCGATGCTCTGTTTTCCAGCTTCTCTGTGGACGGCGTGCCGGTGCGCGTGTTCCGGAACCACGACGCGAACGGCGTGCCGTACCTGAGCAGGCAGGCGATGAAGGTGCACGCCACCATCTGGGACGGCGACACCTGGGCCACCCGCGGCGGCCGGGTCAAGATCGACTGGGCGCACGCGCCCTTCGTCGCCTCCTACGGGACCTACGCCTCCAGCGCCTGCGTCTCCGCGGCCGGCAACGGCGATCAGGACGGAGCGCCGTCGGCCTTCTGCTGCCCGGGCGACGCCTCGTCGTGGATGGCCCGGCGGCTGGGGCCCGACGGCGAGCGCGCGGTGGCGTGGGCGCGCGACACGTACATGGTGATGGACTACTGCGACGACCCCTGGAACCTGGGCCGCCCCGCCGAGTGCGACATGGACCAGCTCGCCTCTGCCGTCTGATTGTTCGGTTCCGTCGGCCATACTACCGCACACGTGTCGTCGTGTTATTAGACGAGACAGACGTACGGTGTTTGTGTTGGTGCTTCTAGCGTAGCCTGCTAGGTCGTCTCACTCAAGATGTGACGTGTAGGCGTAGCGTATATAATACAGGATCTAACCAGGAGTTTCTCTAGCGGATCGTAGTAAGGATGATTCCTGCAGAAACCTGCCCCTGCTGTAACCTGTAGCCGAGTAATTCATGCATATACAGACGCTGAGATAAGATTAACTCATTTCTCGACATCTTGAGCCTGGAAGAAGAGCAAACTGGCCAAAAAAATTGCTCTGTGTGTCATATAAATGTTGATACAAGTGGAGGAAAGGGGAGGACGTTCAGAAACCCAATGAAAGAATCAAGCCCGCTGCGCCGCACGTACCTGTTTCTTCAGATGTACAGAAATAATCAGGGTACGATACTATATCGAACCCAAACAATATGAATTGTCGCTCAACCCCCTCGCTCGCTCAGCCAAACCCGACGACGACGACGACGACGACGAAAACTGCTCACGGGCGGGGCGGGAGCGAGCACTCCTTGGGCCTGGTGGCGTCGGTGTACCGGTTGCTCCTGTCGGTGCAGTAGTCGTAGAGGACGTAGCCCATGTAGCGCACCCACTGCAGGTCGGCGCGCGCCTTGGGGGAGAGGTTGAAGAGCGGGGACCCGGCGGGCTCGGCGCCGCACCACGACACGCCGGGCGACGGCCGGCAGTAGGTGATGTTGTAGTTGCGGTAGTAGGAGACGAAGGGCGCCAGCGACCAGTCCGTCTTGACGCGCCCGCCCTGCGTCGCCCAGTCGTCGGCGTTCCACAGGCTCCCGTACACCCGCTGCTGCTGCCACGACGGGAACGGCACGCCCTGGTCCTCGTTGTTGTCGAACGTCCGGATCGTCACGCCGTCCACCTCGATCCTGCACAAATTCAGTTCACGTCGCTCTGTATGTTCAGAAAGATCGGTACGGTCGACCCACATGCTATACGTACATATCACGCAAGAAAAGAGATTATTTACGTGATGCGCTTGGGGTTCCAGACGATGGAGTAGGTGTGGTAGTCGGCGCTGGGGTCGAACCAGAGCTTGAACTGCTGCTCCCGGCCGCCGACGCCGTAGGCGAATACGTTGGTGTGGAGGGTGTAGGGCTCGCCGGTGGAGTTGCCCAGGAACTCCAGGTCGATCTCGTCGTGGATGTCCCACGGCCCCTCCGAGATGGTCTGTATGCACGTGCACCGAGATATTCACCCATGTCAAAAGTCAACTCGACCGACGCACACACAGCCACTGGTACGGTGCACTAATGCAAACTAATTACGAATCGAGATCTTACGTAGACGGTGCAGACGGTGCCGGCGGAGTTGCCCTCGACGAGCTTGATGTCGATGTCGATGCGGGCGAAGAGGTACATGTCGTTGGACTTGAAGGCGGAGCCCCGGTTGAAGTCCAGCGAGAGCGCCAGCGCCTCGCTGTCACCGTCCATGAAGTAGTAGGTGTGGTCCGCGCTCCATATGATCTGGATGTCCTTGTAGATGTCCGCCCTGCCCACGTCCACGGCCAGGACGAAGGCCAGGGCCACGCACAGGAGCCGCAGCTTTGGCCTACAATGCAATGGCGAAGCCATGGCTAACTAGCTAGCCCTGCTGCTGCTGTGTGCAGTGCCGGGACACTAGCTAGCCAGCCTCTGTCTTGCTGCTTCCAACGCCGAGAGAGAGGTCAGCGGTTCCTGTATATATATTGGAGAGTGGAGACGAAGCTGGTGAGGAAATGGGCGAGAGATGGAGGAACGAATTTGCTGGAGGGGGCGCCAAGGCAAGTGTGGAATCGAATGCCAACCTTGCCCAAGGCCGAAGGGAGGGAGAACCTGCTGCTGGTTTGGGACGACAAGCTTGCTAGGTTGCTAAGCGACTAGGTGCTCGTATATAAGCGTTTTGGGAGCACTGGCCGTCCCTTCCGGCAGACGCCGTGCACATGCAATGCACGAGACGAGAGGTCTCTTTGCTACACGGAGAGCTGAGCATCAACGCATGGGAGCCGTAGGTTTGCTGGGCTGGCTAGATCTCAGTAAACTGCTATCTTATCAGAGGCACGCTGACCTATCCTCACACCACACGTCGACTCAGATTCGCTATTTGTCAAACGAATTAAGTGGAGTGCTCATAGTTTGGTGTTGGCATAACTCTACTCCCTCGGTTTTAAAATAGATGACCCAACTTTATACTATTTTTATACTAAAGTTAGTATAAAGTCGATTCATCTATTTTAGAATAGAGGGAGTACATGCTAAGCCGTGAGCGGGATACGGTCGATCTGGAACTGTTTTGACTTTTACTGGTGTATGGAGAGCTCGCGGCGAGAGACAGATTTGGACGGCTGGCTTGCCAAGATGTTCAAGCAATGCCCACCGCACGCGACCGACGCCAGGTTAGTTTCAATTGGGCGTTACTCGCATCGGGGAACACGCATTACGACTTGCAGAAACGCGCTTTGAGGCGGTAGAAACTTGCTTCTAAATGAACGGAGATCAGACCGGAGTTTAGTAAGGACACTAGGCTTAGTGAGAAGCACTAGTGTACTGGTGAAGTTAGTGTCGGGGACAGCAAAGATGCTATGCACAACTTTAGCAAATACGCACACTAAACAACCCCTCCACTTGCTGTGAGCTCTGAGGACAACATCAATCAACAAGCGGTGGAATAACATAAACAATATGCACATATGATAAAGGATTTGATGTGGATAAACCTTCTCAACTTGAAAAGTAAAAATAGTTGTGGATGACCGACCGGTCCACATAACTTCGCTATGGGAATTGTGAGTACAAAGTCTTCTCTAAAAACCTCTAGAGAGATTTACGACACACTCTTCATGTTGCCAACTAGCAATAGCAATAACAACTACAAGAGACAAGATTTCTGCAAAACAGACTTTACACAACTTCCGTCCTTTCAGTATTTTACAAACTACTCTCAAACCACTGAACCAAACAACACAACATTTGGCAGTAGTTAGAAACTTCCACCCCCTCAATATTCATCTCAGTTGAACACTGTTTGCCTACCCAATTTGTTCGTCTCCCAAAACTAATATGTCCTAAAACAGCAGCAGTTCGAGCTAGCAAAATCACTCTCAAATCTGATGCTCCACTGACCCAATCCTCAAACCAGCTAACCAGATCGAAGTACTCAAAAGGAATGAGCTAACCAGGTTCAGGGCCAATCTAAGCAAGTTCCAGCCTCGAATAACCAGCTTGAACAATGTCTAGTCAGGTGCAACAGATCTGGATAGAACCTCCACTTCTTTCTCTCACACACACGTTGTGTTCTTGTTGTGTGCTCTATCATTCTCATAATGGCAGCCACCACCAACAGGGGTGGAGTGGCTAGGTTTTCTCCTTCTTGCTCCTTTCACTAGGAAGCACTCATAGTTGTTGGATTCAATAAAGATCAATGGCTCATATATGTTGGACTTATGTGGGCTGATGTTGGGCTACAAACACACCTTCATGCGGAGGGACTTAGCTAAAAAAACTCTCGTCCCAACATCATGGAGGGTCTCATTGTCTTTCGGCAGCCATGCCATCGAGCCGACGACATAATTCGAGCTTCTTCCTTGTCACCCCCTTGGTCAACATATCAACCCCATTATCATCGGTGTGAACTTTCTCAGTCTGCATTTGCCTGAAATATATCACATCTTGAATCCAATGATTATGGACTTCGATATGCTTAGACTTGAAACGAGAACTTGCATTCTTACTCAAGTGGATGCCACTTTGGTTGCCACAAAACAACACATACTTGTCTTGCTTAAATCCAAGCTCAGAAGCTAACCGTTTAAGCCACAACAGCTCTTTGCTCGTCTATGTTACTATAATAAATTCAGCTTCAATTGTATTCAATGCCACACACTTTTGCAACCTTATTTGCCATGACACCGCCCCCCCTACATAGGTAACCAAGTAACCTGAAGTAGACTTCCTTCTGTCAAACATCTCCCGCCATGTTAGAATCTGAAAAGGCAGTCAACTTGGGCTCATCACCACCAAAGCAAAGCTTCATATTAGTGCTGCCCCGGAGACATTTCAAAATTCACTTCACAGCTTCTCAATGAGGTCTTCCCAGATTAGACATAAATATGCTCACATTACTAACTGCATGAGCAATGTCAAGCCTTGTGCACACCATAGCATATGCCAACTGCATGAGCAATGTCAAGCATAAGGAACATTATGCATTTCCTTTTTCTTCTCATCGGTGGTAGACGCTACTTGGTGCTCAACTTTAAATGGGCTACTAGTGGCAACTCACAACTTTAACACTATCCATTCTGAACCTTTGAAATACCTTCCCAATATACTTCTCACGAGACAAATATAACTTATTGAAATTTTTGTCTCTCTCAATTGTCATCCCGAGAATATTCTTTGGTGGACCTATGTCTTTCATATAAAAACATTTGCTTAACTCTTTCTTCAACTTAGCAATCCTAGAGACATTCTTGCCAACAATCAGGATATCATCAGTATGGAGCAACAATATGCTAAAGTCATCACCTGAGAACCTCTGAATAAGCACACAATGATCTGAGCTACACTTCTTGCAGCCTTGCTCCCCCATGACAGTTTCAAATTTCATGTACCATTGTTTTGGTGCTTGTTTCAGGCCATGGATACTTTTCTTCAGCTTGCACACATAGTCTTCTTTGCCTTTCACAAGAAACGACTCAAGCTGATCCACGTAGATTCCTTCCTCCAACTCACCATGAAGGAATGTAGTCTTCACATCCATTTGCTCAACCTCCAAGTTGAGATTTGCTAGCATGCCAAGGATTACTCTATGTTGGAAATATTACCTAGAGGCAATAATATTTGTATTATTTATTTCCAAGTTTATAGTTAATGTTTATTATTCTATGATATAACTGCTATGGTTCATGAATATGAGATTCAGAGGGAAACTCATTAGCACCTC